CGATGTGCGGGCTGTGGCCGGTGTGTGTGCGCGCCACTGCAGACCTACCTTCTGATAAAACAGAATGGCGACTGGACCTGGTTTAAGGTGCTCCAGGGATGTATGTCGGCCTGCGAACTGTGTTCTGTGGGACCACGGAGGCTCCGTTCTAGGATGTGACTCCCGGGTCTTAAATGCCCAGAGAACGGGATTTCAGAGCTTCCTTTTAACTGCCCCCAAACCAGGAATTTTTGAGTCAGAAAATGGCTCGCTGTCTTTTTAATGAATTTGTGGATTCAAGACAACCTGATTCCGCATTCAGAAACGGAAGATGGCGTCATTGATTCTTTGAGGACCTGAACAAGGTGACCAGTGGGTGCCGTATGCAGTAGATGAGGTCAACTTTCGGCCACTTCTCTTTTGCCCAAGAGACCAGTACTGAACCGAGTGAGCCCAGACTCACTGAGCGTATCCACCCACCTCTCCTGTTCCTAGATCAGGAAATGAAGGAGCAAAGTTCTTCTCCCACGTGGCACATGGTGAGAGGCCCAGAGAGTTTCATACCGCCTGAAATCATGTAGGGTTGTGTTGGTCACTCGCGGGTTCCGCACGTGCTGTGGCAATGAGGGTCACAGTTCCGGGGCACATGTGGGTTGGCACTCCTCCCCTGGGGCGGATCTGTGCTATGCCATGGGTCTCCCCATCACTGCTGCCTAAATTTTTGCCTTCAGCGCTTCGAGAAAGTGGCTTTTCCTGTTGTTCTGTGGATGTGTTTGTGTTGATCTCAAGGTCTTAATCCAAAACACCTTAATCCTACCTAGCACGGAACAGTGTTCTGCCGCATGCCGGGGGCCGGCGGGGGGCTGTGTAAAGGAGGGCTGAGGCGAGAGAAGGAGCTTAGCTGGCCTGCTCCTGCTCCAGACAGGCCACTGCTCTCCTGAGAAGTCCTGCGGAAGTTCCTGGAAGCACTTTCCCTAGAAGCTGACCCCCTGCTCCTCGTTCTAGCAAAACTTTTTTTCAGTCGAACTCTAGAATTTTACTCATACAGGGCCTTTTGCTGAAGGCCATCAAACATACACTGCGAGGATTCTCAGCAATATGAGTTTTTCATGTTCAGTAAATAGGAAACGCCGAGAAGCAGCAGGTGAGCCATCTCGGGGCACCAAGGGAGTACCTCCCCTTTCTGGTCTCAGTTTCCTCCTGTTACACGGGGCAGACGGACTGGACAGTCCGCAGGGATCCTTGCCACAGCAAGTCCCTGTGAAACCAGGAGCCTCTCTGAGTCCCGCCGTGTCCTCAGATGCTCATTGTTCAAATGCAGGCCCGACAGTAGGGATGGTTCCGCACGCACTGGCTTCTTGGGGGTTTTGGTTTTGGCTGTGATTTGGGACAGAAATCGTAGACCAGAGTCTGATTGTCTGGAAAAGATGGATCTCGACCTGGAAGACCTTTGGGGAGCTGCTCGTTGTGAGTGTGCGTTGAGGTTTTCCTGTGTGCTTCAGCAAGCTGTAGCCAAGGTGGAGTTGTTTTCTGAATGAGCACAGAACTGCGGAAGCAGAGGACGTAGTTCTGTGTGGAGAGGCACCAAAGCTTTACCAAGAGCCTTGAAAACACTTGTTTTTCAAATAGGGTTTGTTTTTCATCTCAGTGGGGCTTGGGAAAATTGAGAGGCCCAACCCAAAGGTCAGTCTGACTTAAGGTTGCAGACGTCCTCACAGAGAGGGAAGATCTGGCAGGGAAGATCCGAAGGGACCTGTCACTTTTCAACTCCTCATTCAAGAACATTAATGTCCGCGAGGGGGAGGGTACAGCTCAGTGGTAGAGCGCGTGCTTAGCAGGCATGAGGTCCTGGGTTCAGTCCCCTCCTCTAAAAATAAATAAATAAATAAACCTAACACTCACCACCACCCCCCACAACAAAAGTGTATGTGTCCACAAATGAACTCATCTACAAAACAGAAACAGACTCACAGACATAGAGAACAAACATGGTTACCAGGAGGTAGAGGGGGTGGGAAGGGATAAATTGGGAGTCCGAAAATTGCTGTCTTGATTGTGGTCGTGGTTTCACGGGTGTATACGTCTATCAGAGTTCAGCCAATTGTACATCTGAAATATGTGTAGTTTACTGTACAGGAACCAGACCACAATAAACGTGTCAAGCAAAAAAAAAAAAAAAGAACATATGTGTCCAAAAACAGTGACCCAGAGTCTAGCTGGCGGGTGTTGGATCAAAGGCGTTAAAATATGTTGCGTGTGTTTCATCTTAACTCTAATGTACCCACGGCACAGTGCCTGCTGTGTGGTGTGCGAGAGCAGAAACAATAATACAGTATCTTGATGAAAGTCTCCAGGAGTTCTGGGCCACCAACAGCAGTGGACGTCTGAGGTCTATAAGAGGGTGCCTTTCCAGCTACTTTGCAACTTCAAGATTTCTCGAGAACAGCATACATTCTATTCCTAAGACGTTCTAAGCAGGAGAGTATCCTGGGGCACGGCTCAGGGAGGGAGAGTGGCTGCAAATAGAAGCCTTAACTAGAAGCAACAGCAAAATAACCTGGCTGAGTAAAGGGCAAAGGGTCTGGACAGACGTTTCTCCGAAGAAGACACACAGGTGGCCAGCAAGCACAGGAAGAGGTGCTCAGCCTCGCTGGTCACTACGGAGACAGTCATCGAGACCGCAGCAAGACGCACCTCACACCCACGAGCGTGGCTGCTGCTGATAAAACAGAAGATGGCGAGTGTTGAGGAGGCTGAGGGCTGGAAGCCTGGTGTGCTGCTAGTGGGAATGCAGAATGGCACAGCTGCTTGGGGAAGCAGTATGGCTTCTCCTCAAAAACTTAAAAATAGAACTGCCCTATGAGCCAGCAACTCCACTTCTGGGTGTATATCAAAAGAAAATAAAACAGAGTCGTGAAGAATGTCTACATCTGTATAACAAGTTCACAGAATTATTGGCAGCAGCTAAAAAATGGGAGTAACCTGAGTGCCTGTTGATGGATGATGGATAAACAAAATGTGGACACTGTGCACACGGTGGAATATTATTCAGCCCTGAAGAGGAAGGAAGTCCTGACACAGGCTACTACAACATGGAGGAAACTTGAGGACATTATGCCAAGTGAAACAGGCCAGACACAAAAGGACAGATACTGTGTCATTTCACTTACGTGAAGTATGAAGAGTAGTCAAAATCACAGAAACAGAAAGTAGAAGGGTGGTTGCCAAAGGCTGGGGGAGGGACAGTTGTTTATGGAAATAGGGTTTCAGTTTTGCAAGATGAACAATTTGGGAAATTTGTTGCACAATATACGTAACACTACTGAATCGTACACTGTAACGATTAGGATGGTTAAGTCTTATGTTATACGTGTTTTTGCCACAATTAAAAACGAAAAGATTTTAAAGAGACCAAACATCCTGAAATAAAGATGTAAGTAAATAGGAAAGGTGGGTGACGATTGTTCTCACATCAGCACCTTGCCAGGAACACCCTGAAATGTTTGTGCGCTCTCTCCCGAGTTGTTTGTTTGCTGTGTCCCTTAGACAAGGGCTTTATCCACCCCAATGCAAATGCGGGCTTGAATCTGGGTAGCTGGAGTCACAGTCCAGTTTGTGCCAAGCTGGAAAAACTCATGCAAGAGAAATGGGGTGCTATTGATAATCACCCCCAGGTGAGTGGACACTCTCTCCTCCTCCTCTGCAAATGGGGTTGCCATGTGAAACGTGTAATTTGCAGCTGTTGAGTTTGATGTATGTTTTCATACACAGGCACCGGACCAAAGGCTTGCAGAGCCGTTGGCCCAATAGCCCCACAGATCAGCAGTGATTTGTTCATGTTCACAAGCTGCTAGGTGCTTGTTACGAAACAGGCAGATACGACAACCCTAAACTAAAAGCCAGCCGTCTCCAAGCACACAGCGCTTGGCGGCGTGGGTTTCCTCTTCCCGATCGTTCGGGAGGTGGTCACACAGCTGGTGCGCACCACCACTGTGTGTCCTGGAGTGAACGAAGGTGCAGAGGGTGTTTCTGCCTCTAAGGCCTCGGGACCCAGGGATGCGCTAGAAAACAGTGACCCTGTTTGTCAGGGGTGTACGTGCCCACGGAGTAACGGTGGTAAATAGTGTTTTCAGTTTCGAAGACCACTGCAGAGACGCCTCGAATTTGAACAGGTGTCGGTGGGAGGAAGGCCACTGCGTGGGGTGGCACCTTACGCAGAGAACCGGCTGGGTTTTCTTTACTGGTTTAGGGGGAAATAACGCTCTCGTAGCAAACATACAGTGACATACATTGTTTTGGTTCCTCAGTATTGAAGCATCCGGTCAATTTTTAAAATCACCTTTTCAAGGAATTCTTAACTTTTTTCTTTTTAAACAATTCTCTTTCAAGAATAAGAAGCCTTCATTTTAACTCTTGTGTGTCTGGAACTGGAATTTGGCATCTGAAGGTAGAAATTTTGGGCTCTGGGGGAGGGAACCAGCTTAGTGGTAGAGCGCGTGCCTGGTGTGCATGAGGTCCTGGGCTCAGGCCCCAGCACCTCCATTAAGAAAATAAATAAATAGATTTTTCATTCATGGTTTGCTACTGTTTTCATAGCAGAGATTGCCTTGAAAATAGTTGTTTTTAAATCAGCTGGCTTTCTCCTCATTCCCCCCCCAACAATAGAGCCTGGTGCTGCACACCCCCGGGGGGGATGGAACGGGGGGGAGCCATGCAGAGATTGCCTGCCCCCAGGGAGGCCCTGGCCCGAGGGGGGCTTCCCTGATGTGCCTGTGACCCGAGGCCCCTGAGCACATCACGGCTCCCCAGGCGGCAGTGCGGGGGAGCCAAGTTTCCAGCAGACTTGCCCTCCGACGTCCTGCACTGGAATCCGGGCTCTCCCATGATCCTTGCGTGACCTCTGGCAAAGTGACTGAAATGCTCTGAGCTTCAGTCTCCCCATTTTAGAGATAGGAAAAGTAGTTCCCAGTCACTGCGCTGTTGGGAGAATTCGCTGAGAAAACCCGCGCACGGGGCAGGAGGGTCCTGGCGCAGAGCCCGGCCCCTAGCAGGGACCTCATCCACGCTGCTTCTGGTTTTTCTTCTATAAATATACCATCCAAAAAAAGCGCCACACAGATGTGCCCCCAAATTGTACAGATACATACTTGCTGACAGTTAAGCATTTTTTTAATGCTGTTTCCTGTTTTTAAGAAACGTGCAGGTTAAAGGCGAGGAAACAGCAACACGGGAGCATCGTGAGACGGTGCTTCACGGAGCGCGAGCCCTCGGTCTCCTCCTGAGTCAGGGAGGGCACGTGTTCCGTTCAGTCCCCAAGACAGGGTCCCGGATGGACGTGTGTCCCCTGGCCCCGACCTCGGCTTCCACCACCAGCTCGCACGCTTTCCTTTGCTCGGAGCAGTGGTTCTCAAGCTTGAGTCTGCGTCAGAGCAGCCTGGCAGGCGTCTGGTCCGAAGGGCTGGGGGGCCCGAGGAGTTGCATTTCCAGCGGGTTCCCAGGGGTGCTGCTGGAAGAACCTCCCGGCTTTCCTTCTTCTGCT